ACCTGGCTGGCATGAAAATGAACCACGGGAAAAGTGCCCTCCATTCGCTATTTAAGTGCATAGATGACATGTATTTTTTCCCCATGCCCCTGTTCTGAGACAGGTGCATGATAACGGTCCGTTCTAAATCAAAACTAATTTCACACATATATTATCTGGTAAAGGCAAAGACAAGATTAAATCAAGAACATTCTGATGGATGACAATATTAGCCTATCACTTGTGAATGATGCCCAGCTTAAAGCAAGAAACAATGCCTTTTTTTGTGTGACTTTTTCAAATCATAGTACCACACCTCATGTAGCCTAGCCCATAGGCCTATATGTTTAGATAAGGTTTGTATCACAACTAAATTGGCCAAATAACGTCTTAAAATTAAGCACATTAATCCGCTTTACAACAGGTGTAGAGCCTAACTGGCATACGCATGCAGTGTGTGAGTTTTATGTTTGGGGAAGATAATTTTCACCATAAAAATGCACCTTTATAGCATTACATGCATAATTGCATTTGTGGTCACTTTTGAGAACAGTGTTTTCCCGCTAATTGATTGCATTTTGGAACATCCTCGCTTATAGCCTACTGCCGTGTATGCATTGCTGCGCTTATAATGTGAAGAAATAGCCTAATAGTTTATCAACATTTTAAGCTAAACGTTCTGATCTGTTGCGTCAGCCTCATTGCGTAAAAACTTTTTTTTTTTTATGCTAGTGGTTGTATTAATTTGGGATCTGTTCCATCCCACAACTGTCCCAGACTATGTTTGGAATATTTATTTCTCGCACAGAGTAGGTCAACTTTTGTACTATGGGGGATAGTAGATTGACGTAGGCTAGTGCTTTTGCTGTTCGTTAGGCCTACTCATCTAGTTGGCTGACGAAAAGCACATGTGGACAGTTCTTCCAATATCTTCAATATGCACCTCGGAATTGAGAGTGGGGGTGAGTGAGATGAGAGGTGCTTCGGAGCAGGCAGCACTCAGGTGGAAGGGCTGCAAAAGGCATGGATTTTTTTTAGGGTGCATTATGGCCACACAAAGGGGATGCCGCCGGGAAATTAGAGGCATTATCAAGTGCTTCTCAAATTGTGAATGAGAGACTGACGAAGTGTGTACAGCCTGAGCAAAAAACAAAGCAGAGCTCATGCCTTTCAAGCAACTTTTTTCAAATCATCATTAGAGTCGCATCATGCAGCCTTACAATGTATTAGAAATCAAAACATATAGCCCAACGTTTGTAGAACAACTAAAGTTACATTAATAACTCTAAATTAAGCATATAGGAGGACCTGTTTCTTTGTTAACCGCTCAACACAAAATAGCCGCATGTGCACACTCCCTCAAATTGTTTGGAGAAAATATTTATATTTTATTCAGCTTTGTTCAATTGTATTCTTCATACTATAAAATAAAGCCACGGAATTCTAAGTAAATCTTGTCTGCTAAATGAACTAGTGTAGCACACAGCCATATGGCATAGCCAGATCAGGACCTAACATAAGGACAACTTAGAGTATTCTATTCTGTTCTTCTGAAATAGACTACATTTTCTTCATATCATGTTTCTTTAGACCTGTCTAAAATAAATAATGAATTTATTGTGAAGGTGTAGGCTATATTACATGGATTTATTAGACTTTTTTAAATGTAGATGTTCCAAAGGTCTGCATAAGTGGCTTGTAGGTTGTGTGTGGAAGCCAGGAGATGCTAAATGTGTTTATGTTAGTTAACGGTCAATTACCGTGAGACCGACAGTTATTTGCTTGACAATCACCGGCTGACGAAATGTTGTGACCACCACAGCCCTAGCCCTGACCCCCCCCAACCACAAAACCACAGAGCTAACCCTGACCCCCCCCCCCCCCCCCCCAAGGTCATTGGCCACTGATAAATCTACCGTAGCTTTGATTGGACTGATCAAGTCAACATCATACTTTCAAAACCTTAGCTAGCAAGCTAGACAAGTAGTCATCATCATAAATCACGTCGACAATCTACTGGCAAATCCTTTTCAATCCTTGTCATATGAAGAGAAATTATAGATAAAACATATCGGTGCTCATCGGCCATTGGACATAAACATTACATAACAAGTTGGAAATCACAAATTCAACAATGAGTGGTTTGGAAGGAATCAGTGTCTAACTGCAAGCGTTGCAAAGTCATCACTATTTTGCTTCCCCTGCTATTCGGTGGAGAGGGTGTGTGTCTTTTCCAAGCTCTAAAGGATAAACATTCACACGCAACACCATGGGCCAGAAAAGGTTGAATACATTGGCCATGCTGTCAATCCAGCATGACTTCTGCCAGGTTCAAAACAACTGGAAACTCAGAACTGGGAAATCTCAGACTTCAGTGAGTTTAAGACAATTGGGAACTCTGAAAAAAAAAACTTTTTGAACGGTCATCCAACTAGGAATTCCAAGTCGGGAACTCGGGCCTCTTTCTAAAGCTCCGACCTGAAGATCACTGATGTCATGATTCAACCTTGTTTTTTTCAGAGTTCCCAGTTGTCTTGAAAGCACCATAAATCCAGAGAATCCCAGACTTTAATGCCAAAGTTTCATGTCAAAATTTGCCCACAAGAAGGACCGCCGTGCCACCTTCCTGTTCAAGTGAGCACAGCACAACGGTGAGTGTCTTGTATGCTGCTGCATACATGATGTAATATGACAGGGAGATATGTATACTGTAGCTAAGTGTATGTTGTGTAGTAAGCTGTTAGTAGCCCATGTGCCTTACCCTAATCATTCGGTCCCTTTCCCCCTCATAACTTAGCCTACTGTTCTGACTTGGTGGTGCACTTGGTAGCCTATAGCCTGTTTTCGAGAAATGTCATCATCGAATATTGTAAGAGCTTTCATTGTCTGCTTATATGCCCCCTTTATTTATCCTACGGTTCTGACTTGGTTCTGACTTGGTGTACAGGGAGAATACTGTAAGATTCTGTCGCTGTACATTTCAAAAGTGCTGAACAAATAGTTATATTGACTACGTCCGTCCTAGCTCGCTCATTAATGTCTTCATCGAAATTACTGATTGCCTCATCGTTCCCTTATGCCATAGTTTGTACATCTCAATTGTCAGTAGAAACCACATTTGTGTAAGCAAGTCAGCTATATCAGCTATGTTGTTTAAAAAGGCAGTAAATGAGGCTGAATGAACTGTTTCGCTGCCAGACAAGGCTCCGCTGATAGCCAGGTGTAGTAGTGGTAAGGTGTTGGGACTCTGCTGTTGGGACAGCTTTATGTAGGCCCTAACAGTTTGTGGGCACCGTTTGTCACCGTTATAGTGCAATTAATGTACTGTTTAGTGTTGTGTTGTGTTGTGGCTTTGCTGGCATGCATCTAAAAAAAAAAAAATGTTGAGTTTGCCCCACCAAGATTTACATGCTAAAAATCTCCACTGGACTAATTTATGTCAATCCCTCATTTTAAGGTCAACCCTGTAACGTGAACTGAACTGTCGTTTTAATATGGTGAAACTATTTTATTTATTTATTATTTTTTGAAACATTGAACAGTCAAATCATAGTGTAAAAGCAGGTGAGCTGGTTCTAGTCTTTCTGGCCACTTTCTGGTGGAAAACTGAGCGGGTCAAGCATAACACGTCATGGTCCCATAGATAGGAATGGAAAGGGGGATACCTAGTCAGCTGCACGACTGAATGAATTCAAACATAATGTGTCGTCCGGATTTAACCCAACCCCTCTGAATCAGAGAGGTGTGGGGGGGGGTTGCCTTAATCGATGTCCACATCATCGGCGCCTGGATAGAATGTTTTAGCAATTTCAATTTTTTTTGCGAAGCTTCCGTTCCCCCTGTCACAAGGGGATTTATGGCTGATTTAAGATGGAATCATCAACCCTGTTACGGTCAACGCTGTTATCGTCAACCCTGGTACGGTCAGCCCTATTATGGTCAACCCTGTTACGGTCAACCCTGTTACTATATTTGGCACTTAATATAGTCATTTATTTATTTTTACCTCTTGAGATGGGAAAACATGTTTTTTTATTAAGTTAAACATGTGCTCTTTATGAAAAAATGTTAAACATAGGTGAAATCAAACGTTTATTTTTAACCAAGTCACACTTCTCAAAAGGCACTGAATTGTTGGAACGACTCAGCTGTAGCCCTAGCCTACACTAGCCTGGTCACAGATCTGTTTGTACTCTTGCCAACTTCATTGCTGTCCTTGTCAAGCCAAACATCATGTTGGTATGACAATGAGTGACAGGGACCCTTCAGGCTTGCCCGTTGAGAGTTATATTTGAATAGTATTTCTCCTCTGACTCATTCCTGAACTATGACAGCATTTCATTCTAAATGGGAAGCTTTGGATTTCAGCTCCTTGGCTTAATGTTTCCTCAGAAAAGGCATTATTAAATCTGCCAACTGTGGATAAATTGAGATGGTGCAATGTCGCCCCCAAGTGGTGTACATGAACTACTGCAAAACACAGTAATGATTAGCTCTATCAATCAGCAGTAACTAACTTACTCATCATCTCCTCCACACAGGGCGAGCAGAGTCCTCTTGTAATCTCCTGATGTGTCTTCCTGTTGGGTAGAAGACCAGACGGAACATTAAGATACCATGTTAAAAGACACACAGTCAGGGATATGTACAGATAAACAGAAAGCTACTTAGACAGACAGGGACATATACAGGGAGATATACAGATAGACAGATAGATAGACAGACAGGGAGATATACAGATAGCTAGATGGATAGACAGATAGCTAGTTAGATAGACAGGGAGATATACAGATAGACAGATAGCTAGTTAGATAGACAGGGAGATATACAGATAGACAGATAGTTAGTTAGATAGACAGATAGCTAGTTAGATAGACAGATAGCTAGTTAGATAGACAGATAGCTAGTTAGATAGACAGATAGCTAGTTAGATAGACAGATAGGTAGTTAGATAGACAGATAGCTAGTTAGATAGACAGGGAGATATACAGATAGACAGATAGTTAGTTAGATAGACAGACAGGGAGATATACCGATAGCTAGCTGGATAGACAGATAGCTAGTTAGATAGACAGATAGCTAGTTAGATAGCTAGTTAGATAGACATACAGCTATTAGATAGCTAGTTAGATAGACAGATGCTAGTTAGATAGACAGGGAGATATGCAGATAGAACAGATCGTTAGTTCGATAGACGATAGCTAGTCGATAGACAGATAGTATTAGATAGACAGATGCTAGTTAGATAGACAGATAGCTAGTTAGATATACAGATAGACAGATAGCTAGTAGATAGGACGAAGACAGGCTAGTTAGATAGCTAGTTAGATAGACAGATAGTTAGTTAGATAACAGGGGGATATGCAGTAGACAGGGGGATACAGATAGACAGATAGCTATTAGATAGACAGATAGCTAGTTAATAGACAATAGTATTAGATAGACAGGGAGATACATATAGACAGATAGCTGTTAATAGACAGATAGCTAGTTAGATAGACAGGAGATACATATGACGTAGCTAGTTAGATAGCAGATGCTAGTTAGATAGACAGATAGCTAGTTAGATAGACAGGGGATACATATAGACAGATAGTAGTTAATAGACAGATAGCTGTTAGATAGACAGGGAGATACATAGACAGATAGCTAGTAGATGACAGATAGCTTTAGTAGACAGATAGCTAGTTAGATAGACAGATGCTAGTTAGTAACATATAGCTGTTAGATAGCAAGATAGCTAGTTAGATAGACAGATAGTTAGTTAGATAGCAGATGCTAGTTGATGACAGATAGCTAGTTAGATAGACAGACGCTATTAGATAGCTAGTTAGATAGACAGAATCTAGTTAGATAGACAGATAGCTAGTTAGATAGCTAGTTAGATAGACAGATAGCTAGTTAGATAGCTAGTTAGATAGACAGATAGCTAGTTAGATAGACAGATAGACAGATAGCTAGTTAGATAGACAGGGAGATAGACAGATAGCTAGTTAGATAGACAGGGAGATACAGATAGACAGATAGCTAGTTAGATAGACATATAGCTAGTTAGATAGCTAGTTAGATAGACAGATAGCTAGTTAGATAGACAGATAGCTAGTTAGATAGACAGATAGCTAGTTAGATAGACAGGGAGATAGACAGATAGCTAGTTAGATAGACAGATAGCTAGTTAGATAGACAGATAGCTAGTTAGATAGACAGATAGCTAGTTAGATAGACAGATAGCTAGTTAGATAGACAGATAGCTAGTTAGATAGACATACAGCTAGTTAGATAGCTAGTTAGATAGACAGGGAGATATACAGATAGACAGATAGTTAGTTAGATAGACAGATAGCTAGTTAGATAGACCGATAGGTAGTTAGATAGACAGATAGCTAGTTAGATAGACAGGGAGATATACAGATAGACAGATAGTTAGTTAGATAGACAGATAGCTAGTTAGATAGACAGGGAGATATACAGATAGCTAGTTAGATAGACAGACAGGGAGATATACCGATAGCTAGCTGGATAGACAGATAGCTAGTTAGATAGACAGATAGCTAGTTAGATAGACAGATAGCTAGTTAGATAGACAGATAGCTAGTTAGATAGACAGATAGCTAGTTAGATAGACAGATAGCTAGTTAGATAGACAGATAGCTAGTTAGATAGACAGATAGCTAGTTAGATAGACAGATAGCTAGTTAGATAGACAGATAGCTAGTTAGATAGACAGACAGCTAGTTAGATAGCTAGTTAGATAGACAGATAGCTAGTTAGATAGACAGGGAGATATGCAGATAGACAGATAGCTAGTTCGATAGACAGATTGCTAGTTCGATAGACAGATAGCTAGTTAGATAGACAGATAGCTAGTTAGATAGACAGATAGCTAGTTAGATAGACAGATAGCTAGTTAGATAGACAGATAGCTAGTTAGATAGACCGGGAGATACAGAAGACAGATAGCTAGGTTAGATAGACAGATAGCTAGTTAGATAGCGATAGCTAGTTAGATAGACAGATAGCTAGTTAGACAGACAGATAGCTAGTTAGATAGACAGTAGACTAGTTAGATAGACAGACAGATAGCTAGTTAGATAGACAGAACTAGTTAGATAGAGAGACAGGGAGATAGGACAGATAGCTAGTTAGATAGACAGGTAGCTAGTTAGATGACAGGGATATATACAGATAGACGATAGCTAGTTAGATAAAGATAGCTAGTTGATAAAACAGATGCTAGTTAGATAGACGGGAATAGACAGATAGCTAGTTAGATAGACAGGGAGATAGACAGGGCAGCTAGTTAGATAGACAGATAGCTAGTAGATAGACAGATAGCTAGTTAGATGCAGGGGGATACAGATAAAAGATAGCTAGTTAGATAGACGATAGCTAGTTAGATAGACAGATAGCTAGTTAGATAGACAGTAGCTAGTTAGATAGACAGACAGGGAGATATACCGATAGTAGCTGGATAGACAGATAGCTAGTTAGATAGACAGATAGCTAGTTAGATAGACAGATAGCAGTTTAGATAGACAGTAGCTAGTTAGATAGACAGATAGCTAGGTAGATAGACAGATAGCTAGTTAGATAGACAGATAGCTAGTAGATAGACAGATAGCTAGTTAGATAGACAGATAGCTAGTTTGATAGACAGACAGCTAGTTAGATAGCTAGTTTGATAGACAGATAGCTAGTTAGATAGACGGGAGATATGGGAGATGACAGATAGCTATTCGATAGACAGATTGCTAGTTCGATAGACAGATGCTAGTTAGAAAAGACAGATAGCTAGTTAGATAGCTAGTTAGATAGACAGACAGTAGTTAGATAGAAGACAGCTAGTTAGATAAGACAGATAGCTAGTTAGATAGACAGATAGCTAGTTAGATAGAGAGACAGGGAGATAGACAGATAGCTAGTTAGATAGACAGGTAGCTAGTTAGATAGACAGGGATATATACAGATAGACAGATAGCTAGTTAGATAGACAGATAGCTAGTTAGATAGACAGATAGCTAGTTAGATAGACAGGGAGATAGACAGATAGCTAGTTAGATAGACAGGGAGATAGACAGACAGCTAGTTAGATAGACAGATAGCTAGTTAGATAGACAGATAGCTAGTTAGATAGACAGGGAGATACAGATAGACAGATAGCTAGTTAGATAGACAGATAGCTAGTTAGATAGACAGATAGCTAGTTAGATAGACAGACAGCTAGTTAGATAGACAGACAGCTAGTTAGATAGCTAGTTAGATAGACAGATAGTTAGTTAAATAGACAGGGAGATATGCAGATAGACAGATCGTTAGTTCGATAGACAGATAGCTAGTTAGATAGACAGATAGCTAGTTAGATAGACAGATAGCTAGTTAGATAGCTAGTTAGATAGACAGACAGCTAGTTAGATAGACAGACAGCTAGTTAGATAGACAGATAGCTAGTTAGATAGACAGATAGCTAGTTAGATAGAGAGACAGGGAGATAGACAGATAGCTAGTTAGATAGACAGGTAGCTAGTTAGATAGACAGGGATATATACAGATAGACAGATAGCTAGTTAGATAGACAGATAGCTAGTTAGATAGACAGATAGCTAGTTAGATAGACAGGGAGATAGACAGATAGCTAGTTAGATAGACAGGGAGATAGACAGACAGCTAGTTAGATAGACAGATAGCTAGTTAGATAGACAGATAGCTAGTTAGATAGACAGGGAGATACAGATAGACAGATAGCTAGTTAGATAGACAGATAGCTAGTTAGATAGACAGATAGCTAGTTAGATAGACAGATAGCTAGTTAGATAGACAGACAGCTAGTTAGATAGCTAGTTAGATAGACAGATAGTTAGTTAAATAGACAGGGAGATATGCAGATAGACAGATCGTTAGTTCGATAGACAGATAGCTAGTTAGATAGACAGATAGCTAGTTAGATAGACAGACAGCTAGTTAGATAGCTAGTTAGATAGACAGATAGTTAGTTAAATAGACAGGGAGATATGCAGATAGACAGATCGTTAGTTCGATAGACAGATAGCTAGTTAGATAGACAGATAGCTAGTTAGATAGACAGATAGCTAGTTAGATAGCTAGTTAGATAGACAGACAGCTAGTTAGATAGACAGACAGCTAGTTAGATAGACAGATAGCTAGTTAGATAGACAGATAGCTAGTTAGATAGACAGATAGCTAGTTAGATAGACAGACAGGGAGATAGACAGACAGGGAGATAGATAGACAGGTAGCTAGTTAGATAGACAGGGATATATACAGATAGACAGATAGCTAGTTAGATAGACAGATAGCTAGTTAGATAGACAGATAGCTAGTTAGATAGACAGGGAGATATACAGATAGACAGATAGGTAGTTAGATAGACAGATAGCTAGTTAGATAGACAGGGAGATAGACAGACAGCTAGTTAGATAGACAGATAGCTAGTTAGATAGACAGATAGCTAGTTAGATAGACAGATAGCTAGTTAGATAGACAGACAGCTAGTTAGATAGCTAGTTAGATAGACAGATAGTTAGTTAAATAGACAGGGAGATATGCAGATAGACAGATCGTTAGTTCGATAGACAGATAGCTAGTTAGATAGACAGATAGCTAGTTAGATAGACAGATAGCTAGTTAGATAGACAGATAGCTAGTTAGATAGACAGATAGCTAGTTAGATAGACAGATAGCTAGTTAGATAGACAGATAGCTAGTTAGATAGACAGATAGCTAGTTAGATAGACAGATAGCTAGTTAGATAGACAGACAGCTAGTTAGATAGCTAGTTAGATAGACAGATATCTAGTTAGATAGACAGATAGCTAGTTAGATAGCTAGTTAGATAGACAGATAGCTAGTTAGATAGCTAGTTAGATAGACAGATAGCTAGTTAGATAGACAGATAGACAGATAGCTAGTTAGATAGACAGGGAGATAGACAGATAGCTAGTTAGATAGACAGGGAGATACAGATAGACAGATAGCTAGTTAGATAGACAGATAGCTAGTTAGATAGACATATAGCTAGTTAGATAGCTAGTTAGATAGACAGATAGCTAGTTAGATAGACAGATAGCTAGTTAGATAGACAGATAGCTAGTTAGATAGACAGGGAGATAGACAGATAGCTAGTTAGATAGACAGGGAGATAGACAGATAGCTAGTTAGATAGACAGATAGCTAGTTAGATAGACAGATAGCTAGTTAGATAGACAGGGAGATACAGATAGACAGATAGCTAGTTAGATAGACAGATAGCTAGTTAGATAGACAGATAGCTAGTTAGATAGACAGATAGCTAGTTAGATAGCTAGTTAGATAGACAGACAGCTAGTTAGATAGACAGATAGCTAGATAGACAGATAGCTAGTTAGATAGACAGGGAGATACAGATAGACAGATATAGCTAGTTAGATAGACAGATAGCTAGTTAGATAGACAGATAGCTAGTTAGATAGACAGATAGCTAGTTAGATAGCTAGTTAGATAGACAGATAGCTAGTTAGATAGAAGATAGACAGATAGCTAGTTAGATAGACAGGGAGATAGACAGATAGCTAGATAGATAGACAGATAGCTAGTTAGATAGACAGATAGCTAGTTAGATAGACAGATAGCTAGTTAGATAGACAGATAGCTAGTTAGATAGACAGGGAGATACAGATAGACAGATAGCTAGTTAGATAGACAGATAGCTAGTTAGATAGACAGATAGCTAGTTAGATAGCTAGTTAGATAGATAGACAGATAGCTAGTTAGATAGACATACAGCTAGTTAGATAGCTAGTTAGATAGACAGATAGTTAGTTAGATAGACAGGGAGATATGCAGATAGACAGATCGTTAGTTCGATAGACAGATAGCTAGTTAGATAGACAGATAGCTAGTTAGATAGACAGATAGCTAGTTAGATAGACAGATAGCTAGTTAGATAGACAGATAGCTAGTTAGATAGACAGACAGCTAGTTAGATAGACAGACAGCTAGTTAGATAGCTAGTTAGATAGACAGATAGCTAGTTAGATAGACAGATAGCTAGTTAGATAGCTAGTTAGTTAGATAGACAGATAGCTAGTTAGATAGCTAGTTAGATAGACAGATAGCTAGTTAGATAGACAGATAGACAGATAGCTAGTTAGATAGACAGGGAGATAGACAGATAGCTAGTTAGATAGACAGATAGCTAGTTAGATAGACAGATAGCTAGTTAGATAGACAGATAGCTAGTTAGATAGACAGATAGCTAGTTAGATAGACAGGGAGATACAGATAGACAGATAGCTAGTTAGATAGACAGATAGCTAGTTAGATAGACATATAGCTAGTTAGATAGCCATATAGCTAGTTAGATAGACAGGGAGATAGACAGATAGCTAGTTAGATAGACAGGGAGATAGACAGATAGCTAGTTAGATAGACAGGGAGATAGACAGATAGCTAGAGATAGACAGATAGCTAGTTAGATAGACATATAGCTAGTTAGATAGACAGATAGCTAGTTAGATAGACAGATAGCTAGTTAGATAGACAGGGAGATACAGATAGACAGATAGCTAGTTAGATAGACAGGGAGATACAGATAGACAGATAGCTAGTTAGATAGACAGATAGCTAGTTAGATAGACAGATAGCTAGTTAGATAGACAGATAGCTAGTTAGATAGCTAGTTAGATAGACAGATAGCTAGATAGACAGATAGCTAGTTAGATAGACAGATAGCTAGTTAGATAGACAGATAGCTAGTTAGATAGACAGATAGCTAGTTAGATAGACAGATAGCTAGTTAGATAGACATATAGCTAGTTAGATAGACATATAGCTAGTTAGATAGACAGACAGGGAGATAGACAGACAGACAGGGAGATAGATAGACAGGTAGCTAGTTAGATAGACAGGGATATATACAGATAGACAGATAGCTAGTTAGATAGATAGATAGCTAGTTAGATAGATAGCTAGTTAGATAGACAGAGAAATACAGTAAGTATGGAGTCATAAAGTCACTTATCTCAGTCACTAGACAAGGTGACTAAAAACTAAGACAGAACTCCAAACAAGAGGCATTGTAACATCTAGAGTTTACAATCTATAGGATCGAAGCATCTATGGGTTTAAGATCAATTAAGTTTAAGTTGTATCACCTTGATCATGTTGTACAGGGACTTCTCATAGCGCATACGGAAGCACTCCCGGATATCCAGCATGTCTATCTCAGAACGACAAATCATGATCCTAATCAGAGTGTTGTCTTGCGTACCAAGACCCTGGAGAGAAAGGGGGAGGTGAGGGAGGTGAGAGACAGACAGACAGACAGACAGACAGAGAGAGAGAGTGAGAGACTGTTGGTCAGAGTGAGGTTGATTTGAGTGCAGCTGAGCCTGAAAGAAGAACAAACAGTTGAGGTTTACCTTCATAGACTTATAGAGGCGCTTGGCGAAGTACATAGGTACACTCCTGATGCACTGGACTGTAGGAGACAGTGAGCACAAGACAGACATGTTGGAATAAGAGTTCATGGATGACTTGACTAGGTATGATCTTTTAGCCTGATTTAACCAGACTGAACGATGGTGAGTTCACTCAACGGTGTTCAATTTGATTTCAATTTGGTTCAGTCTGATTTTAACCAGGTGAAAGCATCTTGGTGTGTTATCAGAACGAGACAACGCGTACCGACAGCCAGCATGAGTCTCTCAAAGTCCCCAGACAGCTCACTCTTGATACTGTCCTCTATGGGCTTCTCTGCTATCTCCTGGTACTTATCAAACACTGCGGGAAGAAGAGAGAGAATGGAGTCATTCCCTGGCACGGTATCCTAGTCAGTGAACTACTGAGCCCAGACCATAGACTGTAGTGTACAGGGTATGACAGATATCTCAGCAGCCTGATACAACCAGGGTCACTGTATGTTGTGGGTGTGAGAAGCAATGACCGATTCACACTAGTAGATGCCACACTGATGTGATAATGGATGGGTTCCAAATGGCACCCTATTCGTTACATAGTGCACCGCTTTTAACATCTATGGGTTACAGACAGTGGACTATGTAGGGTGCAGGGTGCCATTTGGGACGTAGCCAGTGTTCTGGTCAGGCGGAGGTCATGATACTGTTGTCACTCTCTGCCTCGTGTTTATGTACCCCAGTGTGTTATACTCACCCATCTGGAGGTGGTTGACACTGCGGTTTCCCAGCAACATAATGAATATGGACTCCTCTGTGCCCCACTGCTCCTCCCCGGCTGCAAACAGTGCCTGAAAGTGTTGAAAAGTGTTGAAAAGTGTTGAAAAGGGATATTTACAGACAGGTAGAAAGGAGTGAGGTTGATAGGGTTAGGAAGGGAAAGGTAAGAAACACTCGGTGTTTGTATTGTGGTGAATGTGTCCTGTACTACTGCTTTAAACCCTCACCTGAGCATCCTCCTCCACTAGGTCAGCATGCACTACTCCTGGCTCATCTCTGGTCCCCTGGAAATACACACACACACACACACAATAAGCCTGACTAAACAGCTACACAAATGCTTTGGTTAGGACAACAACAAGTTAGTTAACAGATTGGTTCCCAGACTAGATCCACTTACAAAAAAACTAAAGTTAGAAAACAAGCCTTTCAAATAGTAAAATCACATTAGATCAATTACATTTCCTTTTTCCATGGCTGTGCCTTGTAAAACAAACGACCTGGGGTAAAACAACCAGCATCTTGTTAAAGTGTCCTGACCAGGCAGCCATAGCATTAACTAACCTGAAGTAAAACAACCAGCATCTTCTTAAAGTGCCCAGAGGTGTCCCCTGTCACGTCCTCCTCGATGTCTGAGCCGTAAGCTGAAGACAGTAACAACTCATACGGTTAATAATACAACCGGGGTTACTGGGATATGCTGTCTGTTAGTTATATGTCATATGTAGCTGTACAGATGTCTAATCTTAAAATTTGACCAGTTTCTCACAGCAGGAACATGTTCAGCAACAGAATAGTGATCAAATTAAAATCGTCCATATGTATTTGCTGTATGGGTATTTCATACTGTTGCTGTATTTGGTGTGTCAGCTGAATACAGGTATATTTCATACTATAGCCGTACTATATTTGAGGTGTGTTTTTGTTAGCTAATTTGTTTGCGGCATCCCTATCATCAAGTCATTTGGTTTCGCCTAGCTAATGCATCCCTGTCATCAAGAAACTCAGCTAGCTAACTTGCTATTAAACTAGCCAGCTAGCTATGTTTTGATTCAAAGTAAGGGGGCGGTGTTTGGAGATGGCAGGCTCATTGAAGATGCTGAATTTGAGCAGTTTTGAGCAGTTTTCTCCAGTGGTTAGCTTCAAGGCAGACTTTTCTGGACTGATGTGCAGTGTGCTTTTCTGGTGCTTTCAAGGCTGTCGTGTCTTCACCCAGGTGGGTGCTACACATCGGTAGTGGAGGAGTTCTACACATGGAGTCTGATTTCAGATCCTACTACTGAGAAGCACTGCTTCGGCGACGGCAAGGGCCAGGGTGCCCTGATGAACGTCTCTGGACCAGTCTGACACCCCCTGGATGTGACCCCCCCTCTGTTTCATCTCTGAACTGCCTCTACTCTACCCTTCCTCCTGGTGCTGACTGCTCAAGCCATTAATGAACTACCTTGCCTGCCATGATCGGCCATTAACTATTTGTTTGGGTTTTTCAAAATGGCATGTCTTTTTTTTTTTTTGGGGGGGGGGGGGGCTTAAAGCGCTTTGAGATTGTAATGAAAAGCACTATAAAAGTTTAATAAATTATTATTATGTCATACTGTAAGTGTATTTGGCTTTTTGCCCTCATTGTGATCGTTGTTTTGATGCTCAAGATCAAGATCGAGATCGATTGTTTGATGGCTCTGCAGGTATCTCCAACATTCAGCTTCTAATGGGGAGGAAGGAACTATATCTTACCATCTAATGGGAGGAAGGAACTATATCTTACCATCTAATGGGAGGAAGGAACTATATCTTACCATCTAATGGGAGGAAGGAACTATATCTTACCATCTAATGGGAGGAAGGAACTATATCTTACCATCTCATGGGAGGAAGGAACATATCTTGGGGAAGACACTAGATCTACCATTAATGGGATGGAAGGAAGGAATATATCTAATAATGGGGAAGGAAATCTTACCATCTAATGGGAGGAAGGAACTATATCTTACCATCTAATGGGAGGAAGGAACTATATCTTACCATCTAATGGGAGGAAGGACTATATCTTACCATCTAATGGGAGGAAGGAACTATATCTTACCATCTAATGGAGGAAGGAACTATATCTTACCATCTAATGGGAGGAAGGAACTATATCTTACCATCTAATGGGAGGAAGGAACTATATCTTACCATCTAATGGGAGGAAGGAACTATATCTTACCATCTAATGGGAGGAAGGAACTATATCTTACCATCTAATGGGAGGAAGGAACTATATCTTACCTTCTAATGGGAGGAAGGAACTATATCTTACCATCTCATGGGAGGAAGGAACTATATCTTACCATCCTTGTATGCCTCCACCAGGTCGTGTATCTGTTCGTTGTTCCTGGAGGCCAAGACTTCAATCAGGCACTTCTCATCTGTTCCTGCCCCCTTAGAAATAAAGCTTTACATTAAATACAGAATGGCATAAGTTACTAACTGGGCTGTGTAACAGTTACTTAGTATGTGGCGTCTGATGTGGGTACTATCAACTCTCATCATTTTCCTGTTTCTTAACTTTTTACTTCCTGAATATCATCATTTGATGGCATGGTGGACGTCTACTACAGTATCTCACTTCAATGGCATCGTGGATCTCTTTGGCGTCATGGTAGGCCTGGGGTCTCATCAGACTGACGATGAGGCGTTCAAACTTCCCCGTCAGCTCATACTTCAGGTCATCTATCAGGTTCTGGTGAAGAGACAGGTGTCTGTTGGGAAGTGACCCTCTCATGGTGTGTGACACACTGAATTGTGAATTGCAAATTGACTGGACAAACTTACCTTAAAAAAAGAATTCAACACAATTGGTAAGAGACACATGTCTGTTATGAAGTTATCCTGTCATGGTGTGTGACACAATGTGCAGAAGGCTCAGTAAAGAATATAGAGTGAGTTCAACAACGGTTCTGTTTGCGGCGAACATCTTACTTAGTAACAATTTCAGTTGAACGATTTGAATGAACGTTCCAAAATGTTACAGTTAAACATCAAAACAGCTCATTTTTTTGTAAGGATAACTGTTGCAGTTTAGGGACAGTAATCAAACTGCAAATGACTTTGCTATTCCTACTACATGTAATAGAAGGCCTACATGGCAACATTATTATTTGTAGCGGCAGTTTAGACCCGAAACAGACACTGACGTTCGCCGCACACGATGTTCTCAGACTGTTAGCTAACGTTAGCACAAAACAAATGGAAAATGTTAGCTAACGTCTGGTATTATTTATTGTTTTGGGGGGGGGGGTATTTTACCCACTTTTTCTCCCCAATTTTGTGGTATCCAATTGGTAGTTACCGTCTTGTCCCATCGCTGCAACTCCCGTACGGACACGGGAGAGGCGAAGGTCGAGAGTCGTGTGTCCTCCGAAACACAACCCAACCTAGCCGCACTGCTTCTTGACACAGTGCCCGCTTAACCCGGAAGCCAGCCGCACCATTGTGCCGGAGGAAACACCGTACACCTGGCAACCGAGTCAGCGTGCACTGCGCCCGGTCTGCCACAGGAGTCGCTAATGCGCGATGGGACAAGAACATCCCTGCCAGGCCAAACCCTCCCCTACCCTGGACGGCACTGGGCCAATTGTGCGCCGTCCCATGGGTCTCCCGGTCGCGGCCGGCTGCGACAGATCCTGAAATCGAACCAGGATCTATAGTGGCACAGTTAGACCACTGCGCCACTCGGGAGGCCTAACGTCTGGTATTTAACTAAGATGTATTGTACCTTCTAACAAATGGCACACTGAATTGTGCAATTTGTGGTAAAGCTTTATTTTACACCGTGGTTTTAGCTGGTACTTACCTGATCCAGTATTGACCTGGTATTAACTACATATCATAGAGGGGGTCACAGTAACAAAGGGTACTCAAAGCATTCAACAATAAATGATACATAGTGATGTTTATGTAAATACGTTTCCAAAAAAACCAAACTGTAATTTCTATGCAATCCAGGTCCAGCTCTGGAAAGGTACAGAAACGTGATGACAGATGTGATGTTGGATGTTATGATGTGATGTTCCTGTACCTTCCCATAGCTAGACTTGTACGCCTGTACAATCTCCTGTCTCTGAGCATTGCTTCTGCCAGTGACCAAATCCAAGATGGCCTCCTTGTCGCTGCCTGCAGAACACAGAGGAAGATAATCAGTAACATCATCAGCAACATTTTACCCTCAAACCTTCTAAGCCAGGGCTGCCCAACCCTGTTCCTGGAGAGCTACACCATTGAAATATAATGATTATATTCTATTTCTATGAGCTACCCTCCTGTAGATTTTCGCTCCAACCCCAGTTGTAACTAACCTGATTCTTATTAACCAGCTAATTATTAGAATCAGGTGTGCTAGATTAGGGTTAGAGTTAAAACCTACAGGATGGTAGCTCTCCAGGAACAGGGTCGGAGTGAAAACCTACAGAACGGTAGCTCTCCAGGAACAGGGTCGGACAGCCCTGTTCTAAGCAGTCGTGAATACTGGTGTTGGAATTTTGCATTCCTAGCCTGGTTAATAAACCAGACAGAACTGAAGTAAACTGAAACAAAAAGGTGTGCAGTGTTCTGTTTGGTTTTTACCAGGCTAGTGTACCCCTGCCCTACAGAAGACACTGAGCGTAGCTACACTGTTACTCACCGATGCCTTTCATGGCATTGTAGAGAGCCTCAGCATCTGCACTGGCATCAAAGTCTGGAGCATCGGTTACTGTGCCTCGGAACCCCTGGAAAAACAAGCATCACTTTCTGTCAACCTCTGTAGCTCAGCTGGTAGAGCACGGCGCTTGTAACGCCAAGGTAGTGGGTTCGATCCCCGGGACCACCCATACACCAAAAAATAAAAATAAAAATGTATGCACGCATGACTGTAAGTCGCTTTGGATAAAAGCGTCTGCTAAATGGCATATTATTTTTATTATTATTATTATTCACAACAATGGCCTGGGACAGAGTTTCAGAGGACGGTTAGGGTTTTATCAACTTTGTCAGGTTAGCTGTTAAAGAACACATTCTCATTCACAACAATGAGTTTCAGAGGAGGGGAAAGGGTTGATTGAGCCAACTGGACGCTGGGTATGACCAGTTGAGCACAGAAGAATAAAAACGAGATGCCAGGAATTGCTCTGGGCCTATCACAGGGTTAATTAAGGAGTGAGGGGCTGTGTAAAGGGCCATGGGTGTGTATGTGGGCTGTGTGGGAGTATGTGACAGCCTTTGAGGGGCTGTGTGGGTGTACAGGGGGCAGGAAGGGGCTGTGTGGGTGTACAGGGGGCAGGAAGGGGCTGTGTGGGTGTACAGGGGCAGGAAGGGGCTGTGTGGGTGTACAGGGGGCAGGAAGGGGCTGTGTGGGTGTACAGGGGGCAGGAAGGGGCTGTGTGGGTGTACAGGGGGCAGGAAGGGGCTGTGTGGGGGTACAGGGGGCAGGCAGGGGCTGTGTGGGTGTACAGGGGGCAGGAAGGGATGTGTGGGTGTACAGGGGGCAGGAAGGGGATGTTGTGGGTGTACAGGGGGCAGGAAGGGGCTGTGTGGGTGTACAGGGGCAGGAAGGGGCTGTGTGGGTGTACAGGGGGCAGGAAGGGACTGTGTGGGTGTACAGGGGGCAGGAAGGGGCTGTGTGGGTGTACAGGGGGCAGGAAGGGGCTGTGTGGGTGTACAGGGGGCAGGAAGGGGCTGTGTGGGTGTACAGGGGGCAGGAAGGGGGCTGTGTGGGTGTACAGGGGGCAGGAAGGGGCTGTGTGGGTGTACAGGGGACAGGAAGGGGCTGTGGCTACAGTCTGAGGCCCAGCCGGCCCTGAGTAGAGGGCTGACAGGCAGACAGACAGCTGACACCCGTCTGTCCCCCTGCCTACAGCTGACACCCGTCTGTCCCCCTGCCTACAGCTGCCCCCTCCAGAACAGCGGTGTAGGAGGGAGGAACAGGGAGTCTGGTTACACACACACAGACCTGCTCACTCTGCAGGGGTCTGACTCGGCTTCAGAGAAGCTGACCTCTAATCAACACAGTAAAAAACAAAATACAGCCGCCTGGCCTGCAGTTCAATCAAACATGCAGTGCGGAAAATACCAGTGTTCATATGGCCTGAAAATACACGTTGAAAATCATGTCATAAACAAGAACCAAATATAACAGCTCAGAGACTACAGATCTGTCTTGAAGAATCCCCAGCCTATATCTGATATGTATTTTCTATCCTGTATCTGAGAAACATATCAATGCAGCTGCTGTTTCTGTGGAGATTCTTTCTGCTACCCAGAAAGCCAAGGAGGCCACTGCACATGCTCAGATGTGCCCCTACTACAGCTCTACCATAGAGACCATCACTCCCCAGGACAGCTGGGAGGTCTCACCCACATAGCAACAAGACCAAAACAATGGGCCCATAGCAACAGTCCTTTCAGCAAACAGACTGTTCAGGCATGGTAAAACTAAACTACAGCAAGTGCTTGGCTACTCGCTACTTCCATCCAGACACTGCACTATCCTTGGCACCAGTCTGTCTGTGCTATGGCCAACTTGTGGTTGTCTTGCCAAGGCAATGCAGCTAGGATGGTGGAGTGCAGAGGTCATGTACAGTAGTATGAATCAAACCCACTACTCTTTGTGTAGCTGATACCATGCTCCAACCAACAGATCCAGCAGAACCAAAAAGGACATGGTTTTCATATTAGATAGTCTAGCAGGGCCATCCTTGCAAATCTCCTCTTGTTGACTGGAGCTTTCAGAGCGTAGGTGAGCGGAACCTGGGTGTCCGAGGCTAGGTATTAGATAGAGAAGCAGGCCTGTCGTACGCCTTCCAGAGCTCTCTCTATCTCTCTCTCTCTATCTCTCTCTCTCTCTATCTCTCTCTATCTCTCTCTCTCTCTCTATCTCTCTCTCTCTCTCTCTCTCTCTCTCTCTCTCTTCTCTCTCTCTCTCTCTCTCTCTCTCTCTCTCTCTCTCTCTCTCTCTGTGTGTGTGTCTCTGTCTCTCTGTCTCTCTGTCTCTGTCTGGCTCTGTCTGGCTCTGTCTGTCTGTCTCTGTCTGTCTCTGTCTGTCTCTGTCTGTCTCTGTCTGTCTCTGTCTGTCTGTCAATAACATGTCCAGGTAGGCAGAGGGAAGAGTGACGCCTTATACTAGCCTACTGCCATTACAATAAACAGACGCCCTGGGACTGATGAATGACTCTCATATGACACCTCCTTTGTCCTTACCTTATTATTACATTTACATCATTTAGCAGACGCTATCGTACAGTCATTATGGAATATGATACGTTTATCCTTACAGCTTTGCTGTAGCTACACATAGCGCTGAGAGAATGGCAAAGAGACAGGATTACGATATTGACTTACCATTCCCATATTTGGTCTTTTTAAGGATATGCAGGAAACAATCAACCTGCAAGACAAGATATGTAAAGCAGAAATGAGAACGGAGAAACATTTTGACATGCTGTTTAAGATGGTATCAATATCTAAGCAATCAAAGGTATTTATAGAGCCCTTTTTACAACAGCAGTTGTCACAAAGTGCAGTGGTGGAAAAAGTACTAAATTGTCATACTTGAGTAAAAGTCAAAGTATTTGGTTTTAAATATACTTAAGTATCAAAAGTAAATGGAATTGCTAAAATGTACTTAGGTATCAAAAGTAAAAGTATAAACCATTTGAAATTCCTTATATTAAGCAAACCAGACGGCACCATTTAATTTTAATGTTTTATTTACGGATAGCCAGGTGCACACTCCAACACTCAGACATCATTTACAAACAAAGCATTTGTGTTTAGTGAGTCTGCCAGATCATAGGCAGTAGGGATGACCAGGGATGTTCTCTTGATAAGTATGTAAATAGGACCATTTTCCTGTCAAAATGTAACGAGTACTTTTGGGTGTCAGGGAAAATGTATGGAGTAAAAAGTACATTATTTTCTTTAGGAATGTAGTGAAGTAAAAGTAAAAGTTCGCAAAAATAGAAATAGTAAAGTAAAGTACAGATACCCTAAAAAAAACGACTTAAGTAGTACTTTAAAGTATTTTTACTTAAGTACTTTACACCACTGACAAAGTGCTTATACAGAAACCGAGCCTAAAACCCCAGACAGCAAGCAATGCAAATGTGGAAGCACGGTGGCTAGGAAAAACTCCCTAGAAAAGCAGAAACCTAGGAAGAAACCTAGAGAGGAATCAGGCTCTGAGGGGTGGCCGAGTGGTGCAGTGGTCTAAGGCACTGCATTGTAGTGCTAGCTGTGCCACTAGATCCTGGTTCGAATCCAGGCTCTGTCGTAGCCGGCCGTGACCGGGAGACCCATAGGGCGGCGCACAATTGGCCCAGCATCGTCCAGGGTAGGGGAGGGAATGGCCGGCAGGGATGTGGCTCAGTTGGTAGAGCATGGCGTTTGCAACGCCAGGGTTGTGGGTTCGTTTCCCACGGGGGGCCAGTATGAAAATGTATGCACTCACTAACTGTAAGTCGCTCTGGATAAGAGCGTCTGCTAAATGACTAAAATGTAAATGTAAAAATGTGGCCAGTCCTCTTCTGGCTTTGCCATCTTATGGATCCTAACTGAATGTTTACATTATATGATTGTGATCAACATGTATGGCTGGATGAACAAAGACATGCTATTGGACCATAGGCTAATGAAAATATACTTTATATGTCATTGAATGGTGGAGGTCAGGTTTCTGCTCTTTCAGCACAACACCATCCACAGAACCTGCACCAGAGAAGACTGCATTGGAAGATCAAAATACTGTTTCATAATAAAAAAGTCACTAGTGTGCTTGCTACAGATTTCTATAAGATTATGCAGGGAGAAGACACGAGGGGGGACCAAGGAGGCCATTTTGAATTGGATTACTTGACCTAACATTCACCCACATGATGACACGTTGGTGGAAAATGTAGGATTGTTGGCTTATGGCCTAGTGGTTAAAACATAGCCACGTTTTCCACAGGAAAAATGTTGGCTGCTCCTCTCCTGCAGTTCAGTAAGGCTACAATGTTCCCTTTCAGAGTGGTAGTTAGCTTTAGCATCTGGTGAGGTGGGGGGGAAAAGGGACATATAACATCTAATAAAGAAACAACTACTTCTACAAAGTTAGGGTTAGGTCAAACTTGTTCTCACACTCTTGTTGAAATGTTTCGTAGCATGTCAACTTTGAACCAAAACACACGTGGTCTATGATGATGGATTCTACAGTAGATGGAAAAACTGTTTAGCTTGTGAAATTGTGTATAAATAAAAGGGAATGCTGTCGGACTTCCAAATAAGTTGTAAGTCATTCAGATTCTCATTAAGAATATATCACAGGAGAAGCACTCAGCGAGGACCAGCTGTCCTCTGGCATAGCACACAGTATTGCAGTCAATTGTAGGATTTCAGATAGTTTCTCCATTAGTGAGACTATGAGATAAACAGTCTAAGAAAGGTATCTTAGTTCGTTTAAAATAAGCCCACGCCAGTGTTTAGTCTCCTAAAATAGCCATCAAGCACGGTTTGATCCACGAACTTCTATATCCACAGAACATGTCCAGGACCACACCCTATCTCTCAGTCTCCCACCCCCAAATTATACAACTTTGTATTCATAAAGCATAACTTCTTTGTTTGAATTCTATTTAAAAAACACATAACTTAGAATTATACTATTTACACAATGGACATCTATGATAAACATGACTCATGTCTATGCTCAATCCATTGCTTTACATTTACAACATTGTTCAAACATTTTCTCTCTGTTGTTCTTTACCCTTAGATTCTTTGTTTGTAAAATGGGACTGTCTGTCTCTTTTCTATTACTCTCATATCTCAAACTTGATATTATAGGCTTGGGCTGGGCTAATAATAGCCTCAACAAACCGTTATAGCTCCGTTAATGTGTTTACATGACTTGCGCAAACATTATCTTAGCCTATATTGTTGAGCATTTGACACTATAGAAAATTCACTACAAAGCAAAACCCAAACTCAACTCTTTTACCGAACAAATGTGATCCAAATCAACCCCCGCTGCAGTCCTGATCTCCTCTATCCTGTTTTCTCCGTTGCGTTTAGCCCGGTGTTGAAACCGCCAGCTGTCTTATTCCCTGTCCTAGAGCTACCGTAATAACTGCGGTGCTCACCAGCCGTGCGTCAAGAGTTTTACCCTTTTCAAAAAGGAAGCCCGTCCACGCTAGATTAAAACGGTGTTATGGTCAATTAACAAAGATGTAAACAACTTATTCACTCCTGCTGTGTGGTCTTTCTGGACGCCCCATATACACACTAAAGCACAGACCGTCTTTTGGATGTCTTTTTTGTTTTTTGGTCCTGTCTGTTCAGAGAAGGGTGCAATTGCGACCTGCAATTCGGGGCGTTCCTGCATGTGGGCATTCCTGCCTCTATGGGAACCCCTCTTTATACTTCTATTGGTCAATTGTTAACCTAGAACAGGCGGGAGGCGGGGGCGCTCCGGTAAAGTAGGCGGCCTTAATGCACAATAACGTTGGATGCCAGCAGCTGATACACCCATCAGAAGAAGGGGCGGGGGTGACAACGGTAGCTAGCCAGCCGTACACCGGTAGACAGTGTCCTTCGTCCACCGCCTGTCGGGCAATGTTTTCCAGCAGGCACACAGCACAGTACACAGCAGGCAGGAGTGACACCGTGTACTAGCTAGATAACTAGCATGTTAGCTAGCACGCGGTGTCCCTAACTAGCAAGCTAGCTAGTTAGCTAAAATACGGTGCCTGCTGTGCTAGTGGGAGGCGGGGGCGACCGGTAGACAGTGTCCTTCGCCCCCCGCCTGTTGGACACTGTTTTCCCGAAGTTCTGTTAACGACGGTGAGGGCAGGTGTTCGAGCAGGCGGCAGTGAAGGATAATGTCTACCGGTTTCGCTCCCGCTAGCTAGCAAGGAGGACCCCAGGAAGCGAGGGTCGAAAACACTCCGATTATACTTTATTTTCCCTTTCACCCACATTCAAAAGTTTCACAAGCATGAAGAAGTCCTGAAGGAAGGGGAGGCTGCAGTTGCACACTATTGTCTGGTCCGTCCATTTTTTGGGGGGTCTTTTTTTTTTGGTGTGGTCCTGCCTTGAGTTCAACGTCCGATTTGATTTGGCCCAAACATAGACGTCTATGTTTGGTTCAGATTTGGTCCTGTCCGGACCGCATCCACAGACGTATGGTCCGTACCGGCCTATATTTGGCCCAAGCATAGATGTCTATAATTGGTTCAGATTTGTTCCGGTACAGTACTGTACTCAGCTGAATTAAACTGTACTGTACTTTACCGTACTTTACCGTACTTTACCATACTTTACTGTACTCTACTGTTGCTCTAACTGTACTGAACCACACTGTACTGTGCTGTTCAAACTTGTAAAACATAACCTAGATGTTTATGATTAATTCAGATTTGTTCTGGTCCGGACGACCAAATGTGTACTTGTTTGGGGGCGGAGCTCATTAGAATAATACCCAGCATGCTTTGCAAGTGTTTGTTTTCACGTTTACATTTGGATCATTCAGCAGACGCTCTTATCCAGAGCGACTTACAGTCAGTACATTCAAATAAGGTAGATAAACAACATATCACACAGTCTGTTATACTGAGAATGTTATTGTAGTTGAAGTGGTCTGTTGGTGCCAGTTTTAAAGCTTTTGAAAAAGCTAACATAAGGGCATTTGACAGATGGGAGCAATAATAAATATTATATGTTGCAATCTGCAGTTGGCTCCTCTTTCCTATTTTAAATGGATTCAAAAATGGTGATATAATGCTTCCTTCATTGAGAATGTACTGTATGTGGCCATAGAATAAATCACCAAAAAAAAATGTATTTTCAATGTCTGTAAATGACGTCTTTTCAACTTTCATTCATAACCAAAAATGAACCTGATTTCAACTATGTTACGTCTATCCCTGAGTCCAGGTTGCATGCAGAGGAGCCACCTCCACCAGAGTGAATACTCACCTTTATGTTACAATCATGTTAAGATATGAGAGAAGCCAGTATTGAAACATGCAGGGCCTTCTGTACAACAAACCATATCAGATCTACTATTCCACTGATATAACAGTTTGAACCTTAGTGAGAGAGAGAGAGAGAGACTGGTGTGTGTGAGCTGTGAGGCCTGCCGGTTTGTGACTTTGCCAGACCAGAGCATGCCTTGTGACCGGGCTATTTCTGTCTCTGCTGGCCGTGCAGGACTTTCCGGTAATGTAAGGCTAGAATGGAGAGAGGGAGAGAGAGAGAGAGAGAGAAAGAGAACGGGCAGAGAGATCAGAGTGTGAGAAATCTTTGTTAACCCAAAAGTAAAATCTTGTGTAATTTGGTCAGCTGCGTGTTCATATTGTGTTAGAAATAGAGAGTTCTGGCAAAAAGTCTCCACCCTTGCAAAAGGAAACTCTCAGCCAAAGCCCCCCTCCCTTTCGATCCGTTTGGACACACACTTGCTGCGTTCACGTGCTATTGGAGTTATCGGAAGCTCCAAGTTCCCAGTGGGAAATTTCACTTGAACGACCCTCCAAGTCGGAATCACAAGTGGGAAACTCTGAAAAAATGTTGTTACCCGAGTTGCAGACTGGTAACGTTTCACCACTGACATTTTACATTTTCAACCAAAAGATGACAACAAATCAGTTTTTGACAATTACAACCTTATCAATATGGAGAATGTAGCTAGTTTGACCATATGTCAATGTTAAGCAAGCTAGCTACCTCGACTACCACCTGACCTGGATCCTTTGTTTGGACTTCCCGAGGCAGCCCCTATTCATCCTGGGTGGTACACCAAAACTCAGGCAGCGCCCAAACCATCCACGGTTTCCGAGTACATTACTCGCTAACGTTCAGTCTCTGGACAATACAATGGACGAGGATCTCCTTTCAGAGAGACATAAGGGACTGTAACATACTCAGTGTTACGGAATCATGGCTCTCTCTCAGGACATATTGTCCCCGTCCATACAGCCAGCGGGGTTCTCCGTTCATCGTGTGGACAGGAAGAAAGAACTCTCCTGGAAAACAAAAAGTATAAGGGTTAGTCTCATGGTTAACAACTCATGGTGCGATTGTGGGGCTGCTCATGTCCTTTTTTTTCTCTCATTCTGGAACACCTCACCATCAAATGCCAACCACATTACCTCCCGAGAGAATTTTCTTAGGTTGTCACTGCCATGTGTGACGCCTCTCAAAGAACTACACTGGACTTTGTGCAAACTGGAAACCGCATATCCTGAGGCTGCATTTATTGTAGCTGGGGACTAATAAAGGAAATCTGAGGGAACACACATCTGCTGCGCTACACACAAAGAGAACAACGCTTGACCATCGTTACTCTCCCTTCTGGGACAGCTACAAGGCCCTCCCCCGCCCTCCCTTCGGCAAATCAGATCACGCTGCTCCTCCCCGCCTATAGGCAGAAACTTAAACTAGAAACACCTGTGATAAGGACTGTTCAAAGTCGGTCTGACCGATAGGAATCCATGCTTCAAGACTGTTTTGATCACCCGGACTGGGAAATGTTCTGGGTCACCTCTGGGAATAGTATCAACATATACACGGACTCTGTGACTGGGTTCATCAGGAAGTGCATAGAGGACGTTGTTCCCACTGTGACGATTAGATGACAGCATTCACGCAAAACTGAAAGCGCGAACCACCGCTTTTAACCACGGCAAGGTGACTGAGAACATGGACGTGAACAAACAGACCAGCTATGACCTCCGTAAGGCAATCAAACAGGCAAAACATCAGTACGGGGAAAAAGTGGAGTCGCAATTCAACGACTCAGACACGAGACGCACGTGGCAGGGACTCCAGACAATCACAGATTATAAAGGAAAAGCCTCGTGGACAAGCTAAGCCCTCTTCGAGGAAAACAACAGCAAGCCGCGTCTTCAGAGCTTGTGCAGACCAGCTGGCTGGAGTGTTTACGGACATATTCAATCTCTCCCTATCCCAGTCTGTTGTTCCCACTTGCTTCAAGATGTCCTCCATTGTACCTGTACCCAAGAAAGCGAAGGTAACTGAACTAAATGACTGTTGCCCCGTAGCACTCACTTCTGTCATCATGAAGTGCTTCACCAAATGGTGAAGGTAGTCAACAATACCTCCCCTACGCTGATCCTCAACACGGGGGGGGGGGGGAGGGCCCACAGGGGTGAGTGTTCAGCCCCCTCCTGAACTCCTTGTACACCGATGACTGCGTAGCTACCCACGTCTCAATCATCAAGTTTGTGGGGAAAAACTCATTCTGGCTGGGCCTGGCTCCCAAGTGGGTGGGCCCTATGCCCTCCCAGGTCCACCCATGGTTGCGCCCCTGCCCTGTCATGAAATCCATAGATTAGGACCAAATGAATTTATTTGAAATTACTTATTTCCATATATGAACTGTAACTCGGCAAAATTGTTGAAAACGTTGCGTTTATATTTTTATTCAGTATATATTCTCTGACATTGCTCGTTCTGATATTGCTTAATTTCTTGCTTTTTTAAAAACGTTTTTGGTTATTGTATTGCTAGATATTACTGCACTGTTGGAGCTAAAAACATAAGCATTTCGGTGCACCTGCGATAACATCTGCAAAATTGTGTACGCGACCAATAAACTTTGATTTGATATACTGCTCTCTGTTGCTTCAGAACTGCATTACATAGAAGATCTCATCAGATTCCTTGACAGATATGAGTTCCCATCCTCACATCTCTGTATCTCAACTGGTTCAACTCCATCTCAAAGTCACAAGACATCCCCAAAACAAAAGTCGCACTTTTTATCAATAACATTTATGTTCCTGTGTGACAGTATGTGGGTCCAACCAATAACCTAAAGAGCAGAGAGTACAGCACAAAAGCATTTCTGACATTCAGCATGGGATTTTGTTCACAGTTCTCACCCTGTCATCCTGACTGTGGCTTTGTCCCAAATCGCACCCTATTCCCTATGTAGCGCATTAGCCCATAGGGCTCTGGTCAAAAGTAGTGCACTACATAGGGAATAGGGTGCCATTTAGGACGTAACCTGTGTGTTATAATGAGGACGTCATGCCAAATCACTCTTCCTAGACTCTCTGTCTTTCTCTTCCTAGCAAACACCATTCTATAAATCCATCATTTGAATAGATTCTTTACCTTGTCTCAAGTTCACCCAGACCAAGACTGCTGTTTAATGGTTGTTGTTGTTTATCCCGAGTGGACGGACAAATATATCCGCTGTCTGTGTTTACTCTGATGACAGCCAGTCAGAAAGGCTACTCTGTCGCTAAATCTAGTGAGTAAGAGTGTCACACAACCCGACCTTGTATATATGGCCGTAAAAAATCACTTTGCCCTCATCAGAGTAAACACAGACAGCGGATATATTTGTCCGTCCACTCGGGATAAACAACAACAACCATTAAACAGCAGTCTTGGTCTGGGTGAACTTGAGACAAGGTAAAGAATCTATTCAAATGATGGATTTATAGAATGGTGTTTGCTAAGAAGAGAAAGACAGAGAGTCTAGGAAGAGTGATTTGTGATATTTCCTGCCTGAATGCATTTTTTGGTGTGTGCATTCTGTCAGGTTGACTTTGTCACATGTCACTCCATGTTAAAACCCACTGTCAGGGAAGTGACATGATTCTAACCTGGTTAAGACTCAAATAACACCCTATTGCCTTTATAGTGCACTACTTTTGACCAGGGTCCACAGGAAGCAGGTCAAAAGTGAGAGCATGACTGTTCTGTTTCACAGCAGCAGTGTGTGTGTGTGTGTGTGTGTGTGTGTGTGTGTGTGTGTGTGTGTGTGTGTGTGTGTGTGTGTGTGTGGTGTGTGTGTGTGTGTGTGTGTGAGAGCGAGCGAGAGCATGACTGTTCTATTCTACAGAAGCAAGCTGTATTTCATTACCGGCACTCTGAAGAACTTATCTGTGTTATTAAGATGTGCAGATAGGGCGCCCTGGGGCAGGAGGCCTGAACCATGATGAGATTGGTCGTGTACTGGGGCAGGCAGGCCAGAAACGGAGTTGGCCATAGGGCAGTTCGGAAAAATGCCAGATGGGCTGGTCAATCTTTAGCCCAGTGGGCAGAATTATCATTATTTGGCTAATAATAGAGGCATCAGAAAAATGGGCTGGTGTGTTAGAAATGTAAAGGCGGCAGGTAGCTTAGTGGGTAAGAGCGTTGTGCCAGTAACCGAAAGGTCGTTGGTTCTAATCCCCGAGCCGACTAGGTGAAAAATCTGTCGATGTGCCCTTAAGCAAGGCACTTAACCCTAATTGTTCCTGTAAATCGCTCTGGATAAGAGCGTCTGCTAAATGTAAATGCCCGGGCTGATTTCTGGTCCCAGTCCATGCCTGGGTAGGGAGGTGGACGCCAGGAGGGATTAGGGTTGGCTGAAGTCCCTTTATGGGAGACGAGAGGAGGCTCAGGGGGAAAGAAAACTAAACAACCCCACAGTCACAAAGAGCAAGTGTGCAGCCCGAACCAGGGTTATAAGCCATGAAAGCGGCTTTGTCCCCTTCTCTCTCTCTCTCTCTCTCTCTCATCTTAATTATCTAGCTAACAAGACCGATAGGGATAATTATGACTTTATCTATCAGTTAATAGTGATTACTTTGACATTATCTGTCTGGGTTGATAGTAAGGGCTGCCTGTCAGCTGTTGACAGAGAGCTGTCTAGGAACTAAATTGCTGAGAAAAACATAACCTCGTCCCCAGAGTCGTCTGGGACCTAAATGAGATGATAGGGAACAATGCAGGGTGTGTCGTGGTGTGGGCTGAGAAAGTAACTATGTGGACAGACAGCTGCAGTGGGGTCCGAAATGATTGACCCCCTTGATAAAGATGAGCAAAAATGACTGTAGAAAATAAACAATTCAGATGCTTAGCTACAGTAGTGCCAAAATAATGGGAACACTTGAGTAAATGAGGGATACAAAGTGTATTGAAAGCAGGTGCTTCCACACAGGTGTGATTCCTGAGTTAATTAAGCAATTAACATGCTTAGGGTCATGTATTAAAAATGCTGTGCAGGCCATTATTTTGGCTACCATGGCTATGCCCCCGTAGGATGACAATGCCCCCATCCACAGGGCACGAGTGGTCACTGAATGGTTTGATGAGCCTGAAAACGATGTAAGCCATATGCCATGGCCGTCTCAGTCACCAGATCTCAACCCAATTCAACACTTATGGGAGATTCTGGAATGGCGCCTGAGACAGCGTTTTCCACCAGCATCAACAAAACATAAAATGATGGAATTTCTCCTGGAAGAACGGTGTCGCATCCCTCCAATAGAGTTCCAGACACTTGTAGAATCTATGCCAAGGTGCATGGAAGCTGTTCTGGCTCGTGGTGGCCCAACTCCCTTTTAAGACACTTTATGTTGGTGTTTCCTTTATTTTTGGCAGTTACCTGTATATTGTATGCTATAATTTTTTGGGAAATTATATTATTTTATACTAATACAATTGCTCAGAGAAAGAGATTTTGTTTAGCAAGTAATATTTTTGTTTCTCAAAAAAGTAGGGGTTGAAAATATTGACACCCCTGTTTTCAATACCTTTCAATACCTCACCTTGGGAGGATAATGTCACTGAGCCTTTTTCTAAAAAGGTTTTATGAGTTGGAGAACACATTGGCAGGGATCTTAGACCATTCCTCTATACAGAATCCTTCCAGATCCTTGATATCCTTTGTCTGCGCTTATGGACTGCCCTCTTCAATTCAAACCACAGGTTTTCAATAAGTTTAATGTCTAGAGACTGAGATGGCCAATGCAAAATGTTGATTTTGTGGCCAATTGAACAGTTCTTTGTGGATTTTGATGTGGTGCTTGGGGTCATTGTCTTACTAGAAGATCCACTTGTGGCCAAGTTTCAGCTTGCTGACAGAGGCAGCCAGGTTTTTAGCAAAAATGTCCTGGTACTGGATCAAATTCATGATGCCGTTGACCTTTTAACAAGGGCCACCACCGTATAACATCAGAGAGACACCACCGTATTTTACAGTAAGTATGGGGTTATTTTCTGCTCATGCATTCTCATTTCGATGCCAAACCCACCACTGGTGTGCTAAACGGCGTTGGCACTTGGATTAGAACTGTTTTTTTTTTTTTTCAGATGACCTGACAATAGATCTCTTTGGCCACACACACCAGTGGTGGGTTTGGCATCAAAATTATAATGTATAAGCAGAAAATAACCCCATACCTACTGTAGAATGTGGCTCTTTAATGTTATGGGACTAATTTGCTTCCACTGGTCCTGGGGCCCTTTGTTAAGGTCAATGGCATCATCAACTTTATCCAGCAGGGGAGAGTTGGGTAAGTTGACCCAAATGGGTAAGTTGAGCCACCCTTGTCTCTAGGAAACCATACACAAAGCTAATAATTTGACCAAATATTTAGGAAGAGGTCATCATTTCATGTAGTCTGTGAAGGAAGAAACCACATGGAAAAAGTTAAGCAAGTCCAAAAAAACAGATTTTCACCAAGTCAAATTAATTTACTGCGTTAGAGGTTTCATGATGCTTGTATCTAAACCAAAGTAGATAATTTAAATATTGTTCTAAACATCACTTGGGGTCTCTATAAGCTTCTTTATGAGGTCTTAAATCTAGCTTGAAAGTCCATCCTTGTAGCTGTGTGGGCTAAGATAGTCTAAATGTTTGCCTTGGGGTTAGGGTTGAAAAATTCCTGGAACTTTCAATAAATTCCCTGGTTTTCCCGAAATCCCGGTTGGATGTTTTCAGGATATCAGGAAACAATAAGCAGCAAATCCAGAATCCTCCAACGAGGATTTCTGGAAGACCAGGGAATTTACTTGAAATTTTGCAAGTGTACTTGGGGAAAGTTGAGCCAATGGCTATGGGGTTAAGGCAATGGCAAGTTGAGTAAATTGAAGTGTTTTCTTCCCAGGCATAACGCAAGGCGTTATCGCTGGGATATGAAGTAACAACAGGGCCTGGTCTACGTTAAAGCGGCAAACTGCAGTTAGAAACAATAACAAAGCGCTTCCCCACCCCTGTTTCGGGGAAAAGCTGAGGAATGGGGCTGGAGAAATTTTAACCACTCTCAAATTCTTAGACAGAGCTATTGATGAAAAGACTGACCATCCATAATGTCAAAATGACCGTTTTAACCATGTTTTTAGGCTACATTTACTTTGTTTACAGACCAGGCTCCTATTTTGGGTTCTGATGGGTCGAAACTAAAGCTCATGTGGCTTTTACAAGTTCTACTCTTTAAGACTCAATGGTTACATATAATTCAATTTAAGTCGAAAAATGGATGTAGCAAGTGCCCCTTTAATAGTGTAAAAAAAAAAATACAACGTGTTGTTGCGCCTTG